GAAAACATATGAAACAAAAACCAAAAGAGAACAAAAAACTTGGTTAAGCTAAGTTTTGGCTAAAAGACTCTGTGGCCAGGGGCGACAGGACCTTCCACTAAATGCTAAACAATACATTTCGGTAAAGGTTACGAACCGGGGCTGCCCGGTCAGATGTACTCACTAAATGGCTTCATTCACGGCTAAAAAAAATGCAAAACTTGGCAGTTATAATAATCAGAAATTCATACAAACCAAATAAAAAATCATAACAAAATTAAAACCAAAAAAAAAGAAAGGAAATTGCATTTTTAAATAATACAAATATATCTTTTAATCATTTGAAAATTCAACAAAAATTGTATATTTATTAATTGTAATAATAATAATAGCAAAAAGTTATGTAATGTAATTATTTGTGTGATTTTTCTTATTGTTTTCTGTTGTTCTTTTGTTTTGTTTTATTGAAGTAAAATTAAATTTATTTAGTGTTCATTCATGTATAGTAATAATAATATAATAATAATAATAAAAAATCAACTAAAATATTCAACTAAATTACATTAAAAAGTAGACAAAGATGGGAGTTTGTATTTTTGTTTTCTGTTTTTTTTTTGTGGGCGTTGTGAAGAAACACAAAATAAAAAGTAGGCGTGTGTACAAATACAACACTGGGGCTGCATTTCTCAATTCATTTTTGTTGTTCTTTTGTTTAACATAGGTAAAAAAAGGTACAAAGTATTATATTACACATTAAACAAATAATGCTTAAACCAAAAAGTGTGCTAAATTTCGAATTCACATTGAATCAGAGGGGAATCAAAAGAATAAAAAACGTATGCTAAAAATTTGATTTAAAATGAAAATGTATTTGGGTAGTTGGTAAAAATAAAAATTCTCAAAAAAAATTAATAAAAAAAAACAACAAATATTTGCTACGCTGACGTCATATTAAAAAGATTGCGTGTTTAATTTTGCGGCCCAATCAAATTGCCTAAACTCGACCAATTTGTACATTTCGTCATCAGATGATCTGAGAGAGCTCGTGGATGCTACTTGAAAGTCCTCTAAAAGTGTTTGCGAAACTTAAAGCAAGCGTTGGGAGCTATCAAAAATTGTTTTTAAAGAATTTTGGTTTAGGTTTAAACAATTTGAGTTTTTGTTATTGGAACGTCGCACAATGCAAAATTTGACCTAACGAAATATTGAAGAGACAACATAAATATACATGTACATATATAGTATATTATATGCAAAAATTTGAAAAGCGCGCAAAATTTATTGTTTTTTTTTTTTGTTTTTTGTTTTTAATTTAATAAACAAAATCATTAAAGAAAACAAATTTCCTTTCAATTATGCATATAGTTTGCTTATATACACACACATATTTTCAAATAAGACTAAACAAAAACTGTCTTCATTTTAAATGTTGTTTATCAATTTCAATATGTTGATATTTTTTTTAAGTATGCTTTTTGTTTTTTAATATTATGTTATGTATTTATAAAATATTTGTTATTGATTTTTGCTAAGGAGGTAATATAAATTACATTTAAATGTTTTTAATTGGTTAATGTTTTTATTTTTCATTTTCATTTAGATTTAATTTATGTATTGCTATTTGCATTAGGTAGAGCAATGTGTATTGGAAGTTGTGACTATTATTTAGTTTATTTATAGTTTAGTTAGGGCTTTTATTTAATTATTTATTTAGTTTTTTGCAATATATTTTCTTGGTGGCTGAGGTGGGCATAAGTTTTTATTTATTTATTTTTTATTTATTTTAATGTTATGTATCTTAAACGTCGCTTCAACTTGTTCATTCCTTTAACAAAATTGTCAATAAGAGTTAGTTTGTTGTTGTTTTTGCTTTTTTAGTTTTAACACTTTACTTGCACATTGAACTAAAACAAAAATAAAATTCAAAACTAAATAAAAAAAAAAACTAAAAAACACGGGCTGACTTATATGGTAGTTGGTGGTGCTGCCTTCGACCTTGCATATAGGGTTTGTTTTTTTTTTCATTCTCTTCATTTCTAAAACTCTTTTTAGAAAGTGGGTGTATTGGTGTGTGTGTGTGTGTGTGAGTTTGAAATGCCAATTAAATATCTAAACTATTATTATATGGTTAGGTGTAGTTGTGTGTGTGTGCGTGTGTGGGTTGCCTATAAATAATTTATGTTTTTTTCTTTGTTGAATTCATAGTTATACGTAAATCTTAAATTTAGACGAAAATTATATATGCTTGTTTGTTTGCCAGACTCATATATATATATATAATTCTCTCAAGTAAATGCCAAAAAGTGTTGTTGCCGGGTGTTTTAAGTTACGGTGTATTATATATATATACATATATATATTAATGTATATATATGCATACTTATTAACTTAAGCATAATTCTATATAGGTAAGTATGTAAACGAACTTTTCACGTTGAATGGTGAATAAAAGTTACTATCACTTCGTTAATTTCCCCAATTTTTTTCCCATTTTACTTTATTGCTTGCTAAAAGTGTTGAATTATTTGCAGTACTTTTTTGGTATGTTAAATGGCGGCAAATTCGAAATGCCCAGTTATTAAGTGTTGGTAAACGCGGCACATGCGAAAGTTTGTTAACTCAAATCCAAAGCCTAGTCCCAGCTCAAAGAGCCCATAAATGGTATTTCGGAGATAACCAGGCCAAAAAGTCACCAATGCGGTTTGATGTGAGCCGCTTATAGGGGGGGGGGGGGGGGGGGGGGGGGGTCAGTTAGGGAAGGGGGGGGGGGTAGGTAGGGTAGGAATTATGTTAATAATATCAAATTTATCACACTGCTGTTCATAAAATTTTTTTTATAATTTTCCAAAAATTATTTACGTTACGTAGATTCACAAAGGGGGGGAGAGTTTTACAACAAAAATTTTCAAATTGTATCACAAGATAAGAAAAGAATAATATTTGAAATGAATGAAAGAGTATTGGAAAATTCTAAAGGTTAACGGAAAACGTGCTTAATCTAAACGTGTTCACAGTTATTTGAGGCTTGGTTTTGGAATTTTTTACAAAAATTTGTTCGCAACGAACGACAACTCACAAATCGCAATGCATAACACTAAATTTTGAATTTGGGTCACAGTTTGGCTGTTCATTTATTTTTATCCAGGCAATTGTGGTTTAGGACAATTTAGACATTTTTACAAAATGTTTAACACAGGGGCGGGGGTTCGTGGGTAGATTTTTTAAATTTTTATAAAATTTGTTGTTTACGATAAACATTCACAGGTGAAAGTTAGGTGCGACGCAAACCAACTTGGGATCACTAGCCAAAGGATCTGAAGGATGCGACGCAATTCACAGATAGTTTGACGAAACTTAAGGGGAAAAGAATAGTTGATCTTAGGATCGGCACGTTTCAAACGCTATGCACAGACAAGGGGAGTTAAGAGTTAACAATTAACACAGTGTCTGCTGTTTAGGGTGGCCCTTTTTTTAAGTTGAATAACTCGCTGTCATAGTTTGATCATATATCAAATTTGGTTTTTTCTTTTAATTGAATTAAAAGTAAAGATTGAAATCTTTTAAAATTTTTACACAATTCTGAGTATAATTTTCACAGTTGGGATCAATTTGGTTTTTGCTTTTAATTTGATTAAAGGCTATGATTGAAATATTTTAAAAATTTAACACAATTTTTTAGTTTGACTGAGGGAGGCTTGTTATGTGGATGATTGGAGAGGATAAGGGAGGCTGGTGACTTTTCTGCGATGCACAAAAATAAACACAAAACAGGAAACATTGAACCGCTCTTTAAATTGTTTTTGGGATGTTTGCATACCATATATAAACGTACTTGTTAAATTTAGAAAAAAATACTTTGCTTAAACCTATTAAACCTATCGATAGCGAGTGATTTGTGAGTGCAAAGCACACAAAACACAAGAGATCCATCACAAACGGCTGTTCTGCTAAGTTGCCTTGCTGCTACAAATACTACAGATAGATACATAGATACACGAACATATATATATATATATATATGTGCATATATATATGTATAAAGATAGACAATGGTTAGGGTTGGGTCGGGTTGGGTTGGGACCTAAACATATTCATACATAGTACAAAATGATAACCTAGCCGAAATGTTTATCAAGAAATTGCTTAATTGGGGAACTACTAACTTACTTAAGCTTATTAATTAATAATCACGCTGCGCCGAAATATTTGTTTGTTTATTTTTTTTTTTTTTTGTTATTAAAAAAGAACTTATATTATAGAATGGGTGGGCAACTGGTTGGTCCTAATATACCAATTAGTTGGCTTGGGCGGGGGACTGCATGTGCCGGTTCACTAGCTGAATTGTGGAATTTGTTATACATTTTTAAATTGAGTTTAAGAGTTGAATTTGTTCTCTTGAAAACTGGTTGAGAAACTGCTTGTGGGTTGTGGGAAAATGTGGGCGGGGCGTGGGGAGGGGGTTGGCTTTAATGCTTTTCCAATTTGCTGACTAAAATCTAGAAATAATTACCAATCGTTTAGGTAAAGATGTGCAACTTATCGCTTAATTTAGTATGTAAATTTATGTGTTTTAATTTGTTTTTGTTTTTTTGTTTTATATGTATATAAATTGTAGCAAAATTTGTTTTTGTCATACATTCGATTAATTATATGTATTATTTTAAGATTTTTTTCTTATATTTTGTTTGTGGTTTTTATTGAGCAGCACAGCAAATTTTCATTTGTTACAACGAACATCAAATGCTTTGCTTTCAATACATTTTCTTCCCTTGCTAAATCAAAAACAAAAATGATACCAAAAAACAACGCGAATTTGAACGCGTGATGTAAACCGCATTTGCTTGGTCTCGTTTAGCTTCATCTTCTTTTTTCCTTTTTTTTTTTTGGTTCGGTTTTTTAGTATAAAAATTTCTTTTATAAAATAAAACTAAGAATTGCTTTTGTTTTGGGTTTTATCTTCTGTTTACGCTCAACAAAAGTAACAAGAAAATTGTTTTTTTTTTTTTTTTTTGTTTAGTTACGTTTTGTTTTCTGCCCTTCGCGCAGTTTTTGACGCCGCTTTTTTTTTTCTTTTTCAGTAAAATCGTTTGCCATCTTTTGTTTATGTTAGTTAAAATTAGACACAGCAACATGGTTTGTTGGCAGGGGCAAGTTTTTTATTATAGTTGTTTTTCTTTATGCTCTTCTTTTTTTTGGGTATATTGCTAAAAAAGTTGGAAATTTGCTTTTTACCTGCCTGCTGGTTATTCGTGTTGCTGTTGCTTTTGCTTTTGCTGTTAATGTTAATGTTAATGTTACTATTCTCTGTTAAATTTGGCTAAAGTAACATTTGTGATTCAGTTGTTCATGTTTAGATAGTCGTTGAAGAGCTGCATGCAGGCTGCACCTCCAGCCGGCTCCTCAAAGAGTTGCAGCTGCTGCTGCTGCTGTTGATGGAGCGTGGCATTCATGTTGTTGCTGTGCCGCCAAATGTTGGCCGCTTCTAGCAGCTCGCCCGCAGTGGAGGACGAATTGGAGCTTACATCTGAGGCATCGTTGGCCTTGTGGTTGTTGTTGCCAGTGTTGCCGTCCTGGCTAATGTGCAGATTGCAGAGGAGATCGCTGAACATGTCCGGTACGAGCGTTGCTACATTACTTGGAGCCGCCGTCGGCAGCTCCCAGATATTCTGTGCAGCACTCAGCTTGGCATAGTGTGCAGCAGTTGTATTGCCCCAGCCACTGACACCGGCGCCGTTGCCACTTCCACCGCCACCGGTGGAGGACGCGCCCGATGAGCTGGTCAAGGAGGCGGTGGGCGATGCAGCATGCGGCAATAGCTCTTTGGCCGCATAGAAATTGTCCCTGAGCTGAGCGCAGCTGGGCGAGGTCTGTGCCCACAGCAGCTCCTTGCTGTGGCTGGTGGTGGGGCTGAGCGACGGCTGTGAGCCGCTGCCCGATGAGCAGCCGCTGGTCGAGCCGCTTGTGGAGGCATTGCTGCCACAGCCCCACAATGCTGATATGGCCTCTGCCTGGGCCATGTGGGGGCCTGGCTGTGACCAGGCGTTGATTTTGAGGCCATTGTTGTTGCTGCTGTTGCTGCTGTTGTTTTGTGAATTATGGCTAATCAATAAGTTATTAATACTGCTGCTAACACCAATGTTGTTGCTGTTGTTGTTTGCATTGCTGTTGTTTATGTTGCTCAATAAAAGTCCGTTGGCATCATGGCCCAGGCTCAAGTGGCCCAATTGCTTGAGCGGCTGCTGTTGTTGTTGCTGCTGTTGTTGTTGATACTTGCTCATAACATCCGCCATGGTCTTTGAGAAGCTATTTGAGAAGCTTAATTTGTGCTGTTGTTGTTGCTGCTGCTGCTGCTGTTGTTGTTGCTGCTGTTGTTGTTGCTGCTGCTGTTGTTGTTGCTGCTGTTGTTGTTGCTGCTGCTGTTGCTGATAGCTAGCGCGAGCAGCTGCTGCTGTTACCAAATAGGCGGCTTCTGTGGCACGCTGTGTGGCAGCAATCGCTGTGGGGACTGCTGCTGCAGCGGCTGCTGCAACCAATTGTTGCTGCTGTTGTGCCGGCTGCTGCTGTTGCTGCTGTCTTACCTGCTGATGTTGCTGGGCGTGCGGATGGGCGCCAATTAAATCGGGATTAATTTGCTGCTGCAGCGGGGCGGAGTAGTCAATGGCTGCATTATAGAGCGGCTGCATGGAGGCCGTTGAAGCACCATTGGCACTGGCTGAATTTGGATTTGCGCCAGCAACCGTTGGTGGCTCCAACGGGGCCTCATGTTATGCGATCGCCTGCAGCCGCGTCGCATTGCTCTTGGCGTAGCAGTAGCTGAGCGGCTTAACAAAGTGAGTGTCCTGCGTGTTGCAAAAGGGGCAAGTGACACCATGCGAGTAATCGCTGTAGAAGCTCAACCGCTGTTGCGGATGCATTAGCATCTTGAAGCAATTATTGCACTGCAAGAAAAGGAAGAGAACATATAAAATAAATCAAGTTGGGATTAGCTTGAATCGCAGTAGCAGAAATCTAGCTAGCAAATTGCAAAGTGTACAAAAAGGGTAGAGCAATAATCGTTATGAAGCTTCACTAAGAATAGCAGAGGCTTAACAGGATTAAGCGATGATTTTATTTAGAAAGCTGAGTTTTTTGCTTTGAGTGAGCTTTATTGTAAGTAAATAGTTCCCAGATTGATTGCAAAAGGCGTTAGAGCTCATAGCCTTAAGTTCAAAAAACTGTGTTAATTCAGTAAAACTATGCTCTCTGAAAGCGTTTAATATGCTTTTAACTTAATTTATTAGAGCTTTTTGCCTAGTAATCTTTTATGATAAGCTATACAATTAACTGTGTTAAAAGCTTCATGAAAGCTCCAAATATTCGTTTGTTAGAGCTTTTTGATTAATAACTACTCTTCTTAAAACAATTAACTGACAATTAAGCTTTTCGGATGTTATTAATATGCTTTTATTAGAGCTTTTGGCTTTATAAATATATTTATTGTATTCAGTATATAATTTTTAACAAAATGATATCACTTTAAATTCTTATGCTTATTTATAAACAAATCTCCTACTTTGTCTAAAGCTAAGCTTTCAAATTGAAAACAATTGTAATTCGGTATTTGAACTCACCTTAAAACGCTCGGCACAGCAGGGCATGGCCGCAAAGATGTCATAGGCATACATGGTGCCAAGCACCAGACTGGAGCCATCCCAGGGCTCATTGCAGAATCTGAAAAAGAGATAATTTTTTTTTGTTATAACGGTATGCAGTAGAAACAATTTGAGTCCAGATTGAGTCCACTTGGGCACTCAGCACTCACCTGCAGCTGATGACACGACTGCTGGAGGTGCCATCCAGGCAGCTCATGCACACACAGGTCAAGTAGAGCATGCGTCCCTCGTATTTGACCTGGAAAGAGGGTATGAAAGGCACGTATTAAAAAGGGGCGGGCAAGAGGCTGGCTGCAAAGCCCAAGTTCACTCGCATAATTCATTCGCACAACAATGAATAATGATTTCTGGCAACTTTCTACACAGACGGAGGGGCAGCTTCTTTTTATTTGCCTTTCCTTTTTTTTTTGTTTGCTGGCGTATAAAAAGGGCTTTAACGGGCGACGCGACATAATAATTTCAAATAAAATGCAAAATGCATAGCAAACGCCCACGAGACGCAGGCCCTGACAGTGGCAGCCAAAAAGCAGCGAAAGAGTCGAGTCGGGGCGAGGACCAGGCAATGGCACGGGCACATAGCCAGGGCTCAGACCAGCCAGACCAGGCCAGTTGGCAATGAATTATAAATCCAGGTTTAAATTAAAGCGCAAGCAAGGGAATGTAGCATGGTGGGACGGTATGAGGCGGGGGCGCCATGTCAGACGATGCATGACAAAAAGTTAAGGCTGGCGCAGCGAAAGCAGCGCCAACTGTAAGGCAGGCAGCTCTGGCGTAGGTTGCTGCTGCCGCTGCTGTTGCACGTGGGTCGCATCGTGTGCGTCTCTGTGCAACTGCCACAATTGCAACAACAACAATTGCAACAACTGCGCCGGCTGGCAGTTTATTAGGCGCTGCCGTAATTATGCTGACTGAAATGGGTCATAAATTGCGAATGCTACAAAGGCGACTTAGGTGTGGCATGCCCCCAAATCCTACACTCAATTGCCCATTTTCCCCTTTGCCACATAATTTGTGTGCAGCTAGGCCAAGAGACAGTTTGCGACTTGGCTTTAATATATATTTTCTCTTCTCTATATATATATTTTTTTGCCTCCTGTCAAATTTGCAACAACTAATTGCAGCTGAAAGTTCTGGCCACGTGTGGGCGAGTGAAAGCGGGCGGCTGCGCGTGGGTGTCCCCCAGCCACATTTTTGATGGTTATTAATGATGAGCATTTAGGGTCTAGAGATCGAGAGAGACAGATAGGGAGAGGGGAAAAGAGTAACTTACCTCAATGCAGCCGCTGGAATGCTGCTTGGGACTTAGAAAGAAGGAGCCATCGACCAGGGGATAGCGATCGAATACAAGCAACGGCTCCTCGCACAATATGCAGGCGACGCGGCTCATCTGGGATTGGGCCAGCGAGGAGAGTATGAAGAGGCGTGTCTCATCGTTGCCATGATTGCCCTCATCCTCAATCTGCAAGACGAATACGAAGAAGAAGAAAACAAATACAAAACGGTTAGCATATGTGGTCGGGAATTTAAAGAAAAAGTATATGTATAATCAAATATTGAGCGAAAATTTATGTGTATATATCTAAGGAAAACTATAATAATGCCAAGGTGCCAGGGCATAAACTCAATATGCTTATGTACTATATATAGCTACGTATGTTTGTGTGTGTGTGTGTGTGTGTGGCAGACCAAAAGCAGGACGTTGGCGTCTAAGCGCAACAACAAATGAACCATAAAATCCAAACGTGCTCAGCCAGCCAGCCAGGCAGCCATTCAGCCAAGCAGCTAGCGACGTGTGTGTCTAGTTGGCTAAGCCAAATGGCTAACAGGATGGCTAAATTGAAAGCACACACGCACACACATACGGCCACACACACAGAGCAGACCTGAGTCAGGCCAATTCCCCAATCGATAATCAATATGGCGAGCCGCAGCTCTAATAAAGCCGTCAAGCAGCCAAAGTCAATACGAATGCCAAAAAAAGCAAGTTAAATAATAGTTGCCCGACTAGTAGATACCCTGCATGCTGCCTCAACACACATGCGAGCTTCCTTTGAAGCATACATACATATACAGCGGCTGTGTTTCTTCTTGAACTCATCGTTCACATTAGGGTAAATAATATTCTTAAATAACTTTTGTCTTTATTGGACGATTATGCTAATACTGTAAATGGGGTTTTTTAACAACTGCATATAATACCAAAAATCAGGTCGATAGCTATTAAACAAATTCAGTTTTTCGGGGGAAGTTGTGGATGAGAATTATAACATAAGGAAGTTAAATAAACTTAATTTGCGCATATAAAACCAGAAGCTATATGACAAGTTTATTCTTCAAGTTACCAAGGCAATGCTCATCGATATTTATCGGTTTGATATCAATAATCCGTGCAACAGGTGCAGCTTAGAAAACTTTCAAACTAGGCTCGAGCCGTTTATGCAGACAGATATTAATAGTTGTTTTAAAGCTGGCTGCTATCGATCTTCTGCCGTTACATTTTTCATGCACAACTGTTGTATACCTTCTCTTAGCACATTTGCACTGTTTATAGGGTATTTGAAAAGGTGTTGAAGGATGCACAAAATATGGACAAACACACAAAAGCTGTGTGGCAGACACTAATCAAAGTTGTAGGAGTTCGACTACCGCACAGGTAATTGCCGTTTGCCCAGGTGACCGCACACACACGCACACAGCTAAATAACGGCACAGACATGCTGCATTATTTAGTAATAAGAGCTAAAACACAAGAATGCTAGAACACGTACGTCCTAATCAATTGCAGCAATGGGACCTCAAGCACTACGTGTTATGTGTCTTAGCTACAAGGACAAGTTTAATGCACTTTTAATAAGACGCTCAGCAGCAGCTAAACAGGACAAAGTTCAAGAAGTGCTACATGTACATATCTGCTGCTGCTTCTTCTTCGTTTGACAATATGCAGAGAGAAATGTTGTGCAAATATTTACCAAGAACTTTTAATCTAATGCCAAAAAGCATTTCGAATGTCTTCATTGTTGCGAGTTGGCCACACAAAACGAGTCGAAAAACAAAACAATCAGCAAATTAATATTTACACAAGGTGCTCTGCTCCCCCTTACATTGCCACTGACTCTTAAGAGGCAGCTAGTCTCATAAATTCTGTTACAAGAATAAAATCAACGCGAGCCGGCAATAAACTCGATTAATCAATGTTTGCATTCATTTTTGGCCAGGCTCTCAGCTCGACAGAGACTGTTGACGGTTGGGGGCGTGGCAGTTACCAAGTAAGCGATATGAAGCGCAAATTTCACTCATTAAACAAAAGAACATTTTGTGCAAGGAGACGCTTAAGCAGCAATTGTGTTGATTGAGTAAGGGGTGAGTGCAGTGACAGGGACAGGCAGGCTGGGATGCAGGGTCAGGGGTTGTGGCACAAAACAATTGCGCATCTAGGGTTACAGACAACAATAATAACAATATATTTCCTAAAGCCAGCCAAAAATGAATTTCTATATAGCTTTGCTACGTGACAATTTGTTAATTTGGCTGACCGAGCGGTCAAGTGCCACAACTTGTTGCAACTGCCACAAGAGCCGCACAGGAATGTTCCAACATAATTTATAAATGTCGCGTGCTGCTTTGCTTGTTGGGTATTTGATGAAAAGCTCTTGCGGCATTTTCATATGCATGCAAATCATTTTCATTTTTATTGCTGCTTATTTTTTTTTTCAACCAAATTTGTCAAGTGCGTTGGCCGAAATGTTGCCAGTCAAAAGTCGAAGTGCAATAAACTTTTGCATTAACTTGGCTAAGTTGTCTGCGTGGCCAACAGAGGCAACAACTGGCGCTAATGAAGCCATTCAGTTGTCATTTCCTTGGCCAATAGCAGCAGCAGCAGCATAAATCAGCTTAGACAGCGTTTCGCTTTGACCATAAATATTCGCATGCTATTAAAGGGTCGTGAAGTTGCCCCAGCAACAAACTCGGTAGCTCGTTTTTCGGCTGCCACAAATCAAAGTCGAGGCATTTCGTTATTTCCTTTTTTCCTCTTCTGCACTTACGAGACGAGGACAACATGTGCCACACCCCCATTGAGCCACACCCCCTGGAAGACAATGGCAATTCAATTCGCGTTGCCAAGTGCTACGATTTTCATAAACACATTAAATTAAATTGTATTTCAACGGGATGAGCTGTGCGGCGCATCGGGGCAGGAGGGCGGCGGCCAGCGGAAAAGTGTCTCAAAAGTTGCCGAAATCCATTAAAATTGTTACTTTCTGTGGCCCATTTGATGGCCATAAATATTTTGAGAGCGAAATTTCATGCGTTGTCTGGCGCCACTATTCACTGAGAGAGAGAGAGAAAGAGAGAGAGAGAGGCCGAGAAATCACGAGCATTCGCATTCGCTGTAAACATTTGAAATTTTTGATTCGTTATTTAATAATATTGCAATTTAATTGCTTTCTATTTTTAAACCTTTTTCACATATTATGTTTGGTTTAATTTCCATTTGTGAATCCAATTAAAATTGAATTACAGATTCCATTTCCATTTTTTAATTTGCAAAATAGTATGTGCGTAATGTGGCGATATTCGTTTACAGTATCTGTTGGTATGACTTGTATAAAATCTTACATCGTTCATTAGAATAATTTTGCATGTAAATTGCGTTTGAAATCCAATTAAATATTGCACTCACATGCCAATATTATTTTACAAAATATACGGCAGTTATTTTTTATTTTCCTTAAGACAATAAATTAAATGAAATGTTCCCTTACAAGATATTAGAAAAAGAGTTTAATTTAATACGAATTTGAATAAAGTATTTGTTGTTCTCCTTTAAAAATCGATAGTTAATTAATTTTAATATCCACACTGTGCTTTTCTGCAATTGTATCTCAAAGTTTCACTTTGCAACTCGTCCATTGACATTGCCTTTAAAGATGCGGCTTGCTTTGAGCTTTATTAAAAAGGCAATAAGGCAACTTTTATATTTTAAACATATTAACGTTCAACATGTGAAAGACTCATGCGACACACACACACACACATAAGTACTAGTGTGTGTGTGTATTTGTGTCGTGTTTGCGCAGACAGTAAACAAACATGAAAGTCGCTTTTTGCCCCTTTAGGTGTTGCTACAAACTCTTATTAAATATTTCAGTTGGTTTTTTTGGCTGCAGAACTGCAAAATAAATGCTGCTGCTTAATTTATGCGACACTGTGCAACGCCTCATTAATCCACAATTGATGTTGGGAGTCACGGCCTACTCTTATGGTGGGCGTCCTCTATGCAACCATTTGATGTCAAACGTTTTTATTAAGCCTGCTGCTGCCTGAGTTCACAAGCCGGAAAAACTATCAACGTCAATTGACGATTGTCATTTGGGGAAATTGAAAAATCGTATTGGCGGAGGCTGGAGACAGGTTTGAGGAGCAGCAGGCGGGGCCAACAAATGAAACGCTTACGTGTGGGCGAGAAAAGACAAAAGAAAGCTGCAACAAAATGAATTACAAAATGCCACTCAAGGTGCTGTGGGCGTGGCCACAGGCTCTGCTTAATTTAGCCAAGTGGCAGCCCAGATACAAGCGACTGCCTCAAATGACTTTTAATATTGCGGCATGCGAGCCAGCTGAGCTGAGCTGCTAGAGAGCTGCCAGCCTTTAGTCTGCTGCAGCAGTAGCAGTAGTAGCAGCAGCAGCAACAGCAGCAGATTAACTGGCAGCATTCAAAGCCAATGACAAGCCAGAACAACACAAGCGGATGCCGTATGACACTGACAATGAAATGGAATTGCAAACATGCCAATTCCCTACTTCTAGCTGGCAAGCCCCTACACGCAACCCCCAAGTCGAGCAATGGCATCTGTGACTGCAGCACAATAATCTTTAAAAGCAACCCAGGCGAGCAAACAGTCCACAGTTAAAAGGATATTAAATAAACGATAAGGTGAAATGAGCGATAACGAGATACCCTGTATTTTAGTAAAAAAAATTTATTGTGTGTGTATGTTTTAATCAATGTTGGGAGGTACTGAATATGAATATTTAAACTCTATTGTTGTCAATAACTAATCACAGATCTAATCAAACAAAAGCAACTACCTTAACTGAGATTTGAACCAGCGACCGGAGAGCAGACACACTATGTCTCATGAATCAAACAAAGTGTTAGAGTATAAATCATTGCATACTTGATATAATAAGTATTACTTCTATATAGTGTAGAACAAGCAATAGCTCAAATCGAATACACTCAGTTCAGTATATATACTGAGTATAAAAGCAGAATAAAACATTGTCAGAACTTGTACAAATAGAGGCAAGAGCTAGGTATGGGTGTTTAGTAGGGATTTGGCAGGCGGGCGTGTAGGAATAAGAGCATAAGGAACTAGCAGGCGGCACTCTTATAAATGAAATGGAGTAATAATATTTTGCGACAACAAAAGCAGCGTGGGGCACAAAATACAATAG